CTCTTCCACCCGTCCATTGCAATTTTTGCTTTATGCTTTTTGTTTGTTTACACATTTTTGTAAATTATCCAATTATATGATCTGTTTATATTACACCTGATCATCTAAAAATTGCTTATTTTTTGTTTTTTTTTATTTTTTATTTTTTAAACGATAAAAAAAACTCTTTCTGCAACATGGGCAGACCAAAGAAAGAGAACTATAAAAATTTACCAAAACAACAACCTCTCTCGCCCTGGAACTCCAGAGTAACAACCAAGCAAAAGACAAAATACTCTACAAACTATTGAACCAGAAAGTAGTGTTTCCACCAACAAAAACAACAAAGAAACTCCAGTTACTATAGACGTTGATCCTCTTCCGCTCAATAAAGGAAAGGGAAAAGAAACCTCAACAAGTAAAACTACTCTAGTTATTACCCCCAACCAAACTCCAATAAACGTCGATGATGCTAACGATGCTTCAGAAAATTTTTTGACGATAAAGACCTCTCAAGAAATTTTCACCAAAAAAATAAATTTTTTCGCATTCTTTCCAGTGGACGACTACCCTGGAAAATCCTCTCAAACCAAAATATCTGACATCACAGATCTTATTTTTGATCAATTTGACTCTTTTTCGGGTGTAGTGTTTGCTAAACATCCAGAAAACCAATCCAAGAGAATCTTGAAAGCGACTTTCTCTGACAAAGATGAAAGGGACGTGTTCTGCAGAGTTAACTTACCTAATATGGATAAACGCACATTTTTACCCCTCGAGTTTATACCAAAACACCCCTTCGTTCTACAACAATCGATTAAAATTACAGAAATTCCATTAGACGCCACAGAACTACGCATAAAAAAGATTTTTTCCGTTTTGGCAAGATCGTCAGATTCAATATGGAAACAAAAATCTTTGGCAACAAGCCACAATTACTTACGATGCTGAAGCAAACTTTATTGAACTGAAAAAAGGCTATGGTGTTTTCCTACTCAACGATATGGTTCGTTTTCACATGTGTGACCTGCCACGTGATAAAGTTCTGAAATGATCCAAATTCTCGACCAAACTCACCTGCTTTTCCCAATGTACTACAGGTAAAGAATTATCTGATCTGAGTCTTATGGTCAATGCAACGGCTGGATCATTCCCAAAGCCAGGTCTAATTACCACAACTTACAACACGCGTTCTTTTATTTCTCTTCAGCTGAGGATTATAAAGCAGCTGTCAGCAACAATAATCTCACCATCAATGGTAAACATATTGAATGGACTAATACCCAAGTTAAACTATGTACTATCTGTTTCTCATCATATCACAAGATCAAAGACTGTCCAAAAAAACGTCGTACCCCTCAAGACAAAAGCACTCAAATATTATACCAGAGGTTTCAGCCAGCACAATACACTAATTACAAAACTCCAGTTCGTCCCCGTAAAGGAGCCATTAGTCCAAACATCACATTTGCTAACGTCGTAAAAGATGACTCACCTAAACAACTCACAAGAATTATTAGACCTCCTTCCTCACATTCAAAACCTATAGACTTCCTCAATTGTCAGCCAAAACAAACGGTTTACCCAATTTCAACATAAAGCGATGATATTCCTCCGAATATAGACCAACTTACCAGACAACCCCAGCAACCCAAATCACGTGATATCTCTGTAGGAACAAAAGCAGGAGGCTCAATGCACGAGAACGACAATGATGCTGATTTTAAAAATTTCATCAAATCTAGCTTCCTACAACTCTCACAGAAACTGGACAAGCTTACAGTTACTCTCAGTTCCACCATGAAAAGAATGGAGATGATCAAACAAACACTTGGTATCAAAGTCAGTTTCCCTGATGAAGAAACAATAGAAGACTATGACCTCCAAGAATATAGATCTGGCCCAATAATTAACACCTTCACCTCTATTATTAACAAACAAAGAAATACCATCGCCGCCCTTAAGGAAATAACAGATGCCCAGAATTTGCGCCTTAAGAATTTCACAGAGACTGTCAATACCTTAGTCAGCACCTGCAATACTTTTCATGCTGTACTAATTCACAATGATCTTCTTCAAATTGACAAAATACTAATATCATATTCACTCAACAAAACTTATGACACGGATGCAGCAAAGGCTCTTGAGAGTCTCCCCCACTTATAATATACTTAATCATGATTACTATTTCTACAGATAATAACCTAGATAGAAACCCACTACTTAATTCTTATAATATGACCTCCATTAATCTTTCAAAACTTTCCCTCACAACACATAACGTTAGATCTTTCACTAACATAACCAAACAACATTATCTTCTTTCACTTTATTCCTTCTACAATTTAGATGTCATTGGACTCCAAGAAACTAATTTTAAACCACAACACGAAAAAATTTTCAATTCAGCACATTCTCATTTTGTATCATTTTTTAGTTTAACTCCAAAACAACGGACAGCATTTGGAGTGGACATAGTACTCAGTAAATTATTTGCTTCACATGTTTTCAAACATGATACTAAACTCGACTGAGTCATTTATGTGGATTTACAATTCGCAAATAAGCAAAAACTTCGCATTATAAATTGTTACCTACTACCTGCCGACCTTCATATGCGGTCTAAAATCCAAACCGTTTTAATCAAATGGATCAAAGAAGCCACCATCAACGACTTTTATATAATTGTCTTAGGGATTTTAATGCTGACATGGACAGAAAGCATAATCTTACAAATACTCTTAAAATTTTTGACGAATTCTGTAGATTATCGTTATTTGATACCTTTGCGATTAAATATGACTGAAATAGGATACAATTTCCTACTTACCATTCAAGCCAAATTTCCTTTAGGATCGATTATATATAGTCTTCAACGGAAATTTCCCTTAACATAATAGACTGTCACACGATTACACTGGGGGAAGACATTTCAGACCACCATGTCGCAGTAATCACAATTACGAATTTTCTAGACATCAAATTCAACAAACGAAAAAAACCTGTCAAAACTAGTTTCAACTTTGATAAAATGAATAAGGACCTATGGGATAAATTTGTAACCAAATTCGATGTGTTATTAAATGGGAATACTATTAAAACAATTAACTAAGACACATACTGAACACAGCACCTCCTCAATAAGCACTGGGATCTCTTTCAAGATCTATTAATTAAAGCGGCCAATAAGTGCATACCAGTTAGAAAATCATCAGGAATGTTTAAGTATCCTAGACCGCTGGGCCTCAACAAACTTTATTCGCAACAAAAATCCTTACATAAATTCAAAAAACTACTCCTTAAAGTAAAATGAGACAGATCCTTTCCAGTAAATTGGATACAGATGTATGATAAATACTGCAATACCGCCAATTCACTTGACTTTGTTACGGCTTATCCACACTCAAACTTCCCCTTTGATTTTGTTAACCTTCTTCTTTCAGATACGATGCTTTAATCAACATCATATTTTGCAAATTAAACTTTATGAGAAAGACCACAAACTCATTTCTATACAAAAACACTTAGAATAACGACTATATGCTTATGCTAATAACCCTGCTAAAATGCTTGATTCAGCCTTAAATCGATCAAGAAAGACAATTATACTAGATCGATGTCTGCAGCGACATACTAGGGAACTTCTCACTGATGAAACATTGGTAAAACAAACGGTTAACGAACATTTTCAAAGAGCAGCAGGCACTACTCATACATTTAAAGAGATTCCTGAAGATTGGCTACCGTCGTACAACTCAATCAATACTATTAATACAGATATATACAAAAACTTGATGTTACCCCCATAGCTGAAGAATAGTACTCTATCATCAATTCCCTTGCTGATGGTAAAGCATCTGGTCCGTCCAAGATCTCAAATGAATTTCTTAAGCATCTAGGCCTCTTGCCAAGAAGACATTCTGGCTCATTATACGAGGTTGTATGTCGATCTCATCTCTCTCACATAAATGGAATTTAGCCTATATATACCCCATTCTGAAACCTAAACCATGGGAATTTGACCTCAATAATACAAGACCAATTACCCTTTTGGAATGTTCAAGGAAAGCCTTTATCAAACTTCTTAATACATGCCTTTCAACGATCTTTGTTAAATATAATATCCTTAAAGGCTATAACTTTGCAGATCTTCCCTTCCGTTCTACTTTCGAACCCCTGCACACCCTTGATAACATAAAAAATGATGCTCTTAACAACAAAAAAGAATTATGGATCCTCCTGCAAGATATGTCAAAAGCCTATGACCGCGTTAATATTTTTATGCTAATTAAAGCTTTGGAAAGGCTAAAACTTCCTAAGGGCTTTATTTACTTCATCCTCAATATGTTTGTCCAAAGAAAAAACCAAGTCTTTACAGCTCATGAGCTTACGGACACATATGAAATATTCTCAGGAATCGATCAAGGAGAAATCATTTCTCTACTACTCTGGTGTATATATTATGATCCTCTCCTATGTAGAATGCAGAGTTTAGACCTTGGTTACAACATGATGATAAAATGAAAACCCAACGTTCAACTAAGCATATTCAACGAAATCTCATGCAGGACTTCAGTACTGGCGTATATGGACGATACACTGTGGATCGCTGATTCTAAACAAAATCTTTTATAGATCGTTGAGATAGCTAATGGTTTTTATGATCTCAACAGCATTAAAGTAAACTGGTCCAAGTCTGATCTGTTAACAAATACTAAGGAAATTCAAGTCCTACAAATACACAATAATGATCAAACACATACAATAACCGCTGTTAATCCTAAATCCTCTGTCAGATATTTAGGGGTCTGGATCTCGTTAAAATTCAATAAGACATTCATTACTAAACAAGCTATCCAAGATGTCAAGTTCACGATAAGTGCTTTGTTCACAAAGAAATTGACTGATAAACAACTTATATATACCTTCAACGTTGTCGTCATACCCGTATAGAGTATTGTACTCAACTAACTCATTTATCAGAAACAACTGCAGACCGTATAATACGCCCATTTAGAGCCATGTTGAAGAAAAAGCTTCAGCTCTCAAGAGACACACCCTTTAGTGTCCTTCACTCAAATCTCTTTTACGGAGTTACTCACCTATACCACAGACATCTACAAGCCCTTAGTGATGCTTTGTTGACTTCTCTTAATGATACTGGTGTATTTGGTTTGTCAACACGTATCTGACTGCTTCACCTACAAATTAAAGAATGGTTAGCTATTTCCCCGCTAGTTGAATGGCCTTATAGACTCTCCAAATATTTTAATAATTAGATCCCAGCACTCCTATGTGATTTAAAACGTTATAACATTAGTTTGTCACCTTCAGAACAATACACTTACTGTATACAAGGTGGTTTTACCACCATATAGTCAGTCATCCTACAAGCATACAGAAGAGCCACCTCCTCCCTCTCCAAGTACTCCTTAATGTTCATGAAATAACTGATTAGTAGAGATGGCAAATCGCTATATTCAACCCAGAACTTGAAATACCTTGCATCAATCTCTAGAAAAAGACCCCTCCAAAATGGTACTAGAGTATTAAGAATGTACTTAATGTTAGTGATCTAAACTCCTTACCAGAATCCACCGGATATAAAAATAACGTCGTCTATGAAACTCCTTTGTTACCCTATAACAAGAGATTGTAGCTCGCTCTTTTGTAATTTATTGGGAATCTCATGGCCAAAGTTTAATAATAGGCAGAGTGTTAAAGATAGTCGGCAGCTTTATTGAAGTCGTGCACTATACATATACTCTTTTCGATGAGATTTCTGTCCAACAATGTAATGGATGCTTATGCAATAGGCCTACACTTCTAAAAAGCAACTCTCCTGAGCTCAAAAAATTCAAATATTTAGTGACCTTACCTCTCAACCTATGTGCGAAACTTATGATGAAGGACTATGGAAAAACATTTGTTAGCGCATGGTCATTACCACTAATGAAAGATATTGCTATACACATGTTTAACTGTTTGTATTAAGGTGTTTCATAATTACAAGTACCTGTTATGGACTATCGCCACCCTGCACCTTCTACTTTAATATTGTGATTTATTATGCCACCACACAGACAGGATCTACTAACTCTTGCACAACAGTTTTTTACTGCATTACATTTAGAATTTTATACGGACAATTCTCTCTCTGGTTTAGGCTTACCTTCTATGAGAATAGGAATAGCTTGGCTCCAAACACATCCAGGTTCTTCTATGACCTCATTTTCAACAGCACTAGTTGCTACATTTCCTTCCTCTTCATTTGCAGAACTCGCAGCAATTTTCACTGCCATCATTGTTACCCTGCAGAACTGTCGCGTCACTATCGTGACTGACTCACAGGTTGTTATTAACCAATTCAACAAAGTTAAAAGAATTTCAAGTCTCTCCCCGTTCACAAGACCTCTCTTCAAAATCAATTATTTCTCAACTTGGCTGAGCTTATTTGAGATTATAAACAAACACCACTTTATCATACAGTTCCGAAAAATCAAGGCACATTCAGGAGACACATTTAATGACAAAGTTGATAAACTAACAAAAGCCTCTCTCACTTCCACTGCGCTCGCGTTTGACCTTTCGGATATGAACCACTACTATTATAAATATAAGAGCCTTGCTATCTCTACACCCATATGGCTATTTATGAAACATGTTACACAATCCGTGATATACAATAGATTTTAACGTCTACACGTAATAGACTTCTATCAACATTTGAATATTAACTGGTACGCGACCAGTTTTTGTATTAATGACAACATTGCATCAGCGTACACATCTTACGAGGCTTCAACGGTCCAAAAGAAAAAGATACAAAGACTCTTAGAAATGCTTCCTACTATGGAGATCTTAAAAATTAGATACCCTAATATTTATGATCCTACTTGGCTTTGCTTCAGATGTGACTGCGCTGACGAAACTTACTCTCACATCTGGGAATGCCCAACTACTTGGACTCTATGAAGAACATTATCTGTGACTCTCAACGATTCCTGCTAGATCTTATACAAAATAGTGGTGTAGCTAGGGACTTATCCAGTTTATCAATATGGCATTTATTCACAGAAAGCTCCCCATACTTTATCGCTCTTATTAAAGGAATAATTTCTCAATCGTTATACAAATTCGTTCATAATATTATGAATTCAAAAGAGCTAACCCTCGCTATACTATCTGCCTTCATGCATCACCTCTTTGAACAAACACAAGCTATATAGATTGATAGATGTTCATAACAAATTGCCTTTGAGATTTCTCACAATATCAACTTGAAAAGCAAAAAAGATAATACTGCTGCTACTGGGTATAATATCATGAGCAACACGTCCCCTTCGTCTTCTGATAATTTAATTAACAAGATGGTCTGTTATGGATCCCACTAGATGAATTTTTGGTGCCGTAGTAGCTGCGCCCTTTCTCATTAGGTTTGTTACTGGAATATGATATTTTTAGCCTAGGTTAGGAATAGATTCTAGGAAAGTGTAGGGTCGGTCTTGATTTAGATTTATTTAGATAGAGATTTTTGTGTTTTCTTAAATTTGTATATTTTATTTTTGTTACATATACCTTGAATTTAATAAAGATTATGCGAAACTACCGCACTTAAAAAAAAAAAAAAAAAAAAAAATTTTTTAAATGATAAAATACTCTTTTCACAACATGAGCAGACCAAAGAAAGAGAATAACAAAAACCAACAAAAATAACAACCTCACTCTCGCTCTAGCACTCTAGAGTAATAACTAAGTAAAAGACAAAATACTTTACAAACTATTGAACCTGAAAGTAGTGTCTTCACCAATAATAACAATAAAGAAACTCCAGTTATCATAGACGTCGACCCTCTTCTGCTTGACAAAGGAAAGGGCAAAGAAGTTATGATAGGTGAAACAACTTCAGTTGTTACTTCTGACCAAGCACTCATAAACATCAATAACATTAACGACACCTCAAAATTTTTTGACCAACAAAAAAAGCCCTCAAGAAATTTTCACTAAAAAAATAAATTTTTTCGCATTCTTCCTGACGAACGATTACCCTAGAAAATTCTCTCAAACAAAAATCGCTGATGTCACTAATCTCATTTTTGATCAGTTTGATTCATTTTCGGGAGTTGTATTTGCCAAACACTTAGAGGATCAATCAAAGAAAATCTTAAAAGTGACATTTTCTGACAAGGATAAAAGGGACGCGTTTTGCAAAGTTAATTTGCCTAATCTGAAAAATTGCATGTTTTTACCCTCAAAATCATATCAAAATATCCATTTGTTCTACAACAATTAATCAAATTTACTGAAATACCATTGGATACCACAGAATTGCATATCAAAAAGATCTTCTCCTGATTCAACAAGATCGTTAGATTCAACATGAAAACAAAGAACCTTTGATAACAAGCTACGATCATATATAATTTAGACACTAATTTTATTGAACTAAAAAAAGGTTACAGTGTCTTTCTTCTCAATGACATGATTCGTTTCCATATGTGTGATCTGCCACGTGACAAAGTCTTAAAACGATCTAAATTCTCAGCTAAATTTACCTGTCTTTCCTATTATATCACAGGTAAAGACTTATCCAATTTAGGTTTAATAGTTAATGTAACGGTTTGGATTATTCCTAAAGTCAGATCCAATTATTATAATATACAATATGTATTTTTTTATTTTCTTTCAGTGGATGATTACGAAGCAGCGATCAATAATGACAATTTCACCATCAATGGCAAACACATAGAATGGACTGAGACTAAAGTCAAATTATGTGCTATTTGTTTCTCATCATATTGAAAAATCAAAAATTGTTTAAAAAAATGTCACACTCCTCAAGATAAAAGCATCTAACATCTATACTAAAGATTTTAACCAGCATAATACAATAACTATAAAGCCTCATTTTGTCTTCATAAGAAACTATTAGTCCTAATATTACTTTTACTAATATCATTATAGATGGTTTACAGAAAATAACCAAACTGACTAGTAAGCTTATGACTTCACGATCCTTGCTAAAGAATACCAAAAATAGTTCTTTGAAATAACCATCTACCCCATTACCAGATTGGAGTGACGACATCCCTCTGAATATGAAACAACAAAGCAATCAACCTCAATAGCAATAACACAAATCACGTGATATCTCTATAGAGACGAAAGCAGAAAACTCTATGCATGAAAAAGATACTGATAGCGATTTTAAAGACTTCATTAAAGCTAGTTTCTTACAACTTATCCAAAAACTCAATGATCTCACACTTACTTTAGGTTCTACTATGAAATGAATGAAGATAATTGAACAAACACTCAACATTAAGGTCAGCTTTTCTGATGAAGAAACAATGACTGATTATGATATAGAAATGGCCTGTTTATTAATGCTTTCACGACAATTATTAGTAAACAATAACAAACCATCACAGCTCTCACAGAAATCACAGACGCACAAAACTTATGCCTTAAGAACTTCACCAAAACAGTTAATACATTAGTTAACACTTGTAATACATTCTATACAGTTTTCATTCATAATGACTTACTTCAAATAGACAAAATACTAACATCATACACTCTTAACACTAATTATGATACAAAAGCAGAAAAGGCTCTAAAGGGTCTTCTCCAATTCTAAAAATATTTTTTATGATTACCATCCCTACAGATATTAATAATAATTTCTTCTTACCAAATAATAATTCTAAAACGATCTCCATTAATATACCAAAACTTTCTTTCGCAACTCATAACGTTCGATTTTTCACTAATATTGCCAAATAATATCACCTTTTATCACTATATTCTTCGTACAATTTAGATGTCATTAGTCTTCAAGAAACTAACTTTAAACCCTAACATGAAAAAATATTTAATCCATCACATCCTTCCTTTATATCATTTTTAGTTCAATCCTAAAATAACGAACCACATTCAGTATGAGAATAATATTTAACAAAAAGATTGCTCATCACGTCTACAAACATGACACTTAACTTGATTGAGTCATCCATGTTGATTTACAATTCGCAAATAAACAAAAATTTCATATTATAAATTGTTACTTACCACTAGCTGACCTTAAAATGAGAAAGGAAATCCAACTGGTTCTTAACAAATGGATCAAAGAAGCCACTATCAATGATTTTCACTTGATCTTCTTGGAAGATTTCAATATAGACATAGATCGAATACATAATCCTACAAACAGCCTAAATCTCTTCGATGATTTTATAGATTGTTATTTTTTGATGCTTTCACAATCAAACACGATCAAAACAGAATTGACTTTTCTACTTACTTTTTGAGCTAAGTCTCTTCTAGGATAGATTACATATAGACCTCCACTGATATCTCTTTTAACATTTTAGATTGTTATATGGTTGCACTTGAAACAGATATATTAGATCATTATATAGCCGTCATTACAATCACAAATTTTTAAACATTAAATTTAACAAACGCAAAATATCTATCAAAATTAGTTTCAATTTTAATAAAATGAACGATGACCTATGAAGCAAATTCAGAAACAAATTTGATGCACTTTTAAATGGAAGTATAACTAAAATAATCAATCAGGAGACATATTGGATGCATTTCTTGCTTAATAAACACTGGGACCTCTTTTAAGATCTTTTGATTAAAGCAGCTAAAAAATGCATATTACTCAGAAAATCATCAGAACAATTCAAGTATCTAAGGCCACTGGGTCTCACAAAATTATATTCACATCAGAAACTCTACACAAATTTAAAAAGTTATTTCTCAAAGTCAAATAAGATAGATCTTTTCCTGTAAATTAGATAAAAATGTATGATAATTTTTGCAACATTGTTAACTCACTTATTTTTATTACTGCATATCCTTACCTACCCTATAAAAAATTTGCATACGTTTTTTCATTATTATAAATAAGTTTTGTATACGTTTTTTAAAATTCCATATCACATTTCCTTATATTTTATAAGGAATTTTTTTTTAGCATTTTTTTATAAAAAATGATGTATAAGGAATTGTTA